CTAGAAATATTAAATGTTAGATATTTGTTTTAAATTTGATTTGAAGCTTTCATGAGAGCAGGAATTACTCTTTGGTTCTTTTGGAAAAGTCATGTAAAAATAAAATAAAATAAATAATAGAATACGACGTTAAATTGGAAGGACCCTCTTGAGGAGCCTTTCAAAACTATAACTTTACCCTACATTGCGGGGATCACAAAAAAGATCTCCAAAATCTTGAATAAACACAAGATCCAGCTCCGTTTCAACACATTACATAAAATCCGTGATCTGGTTCCATCTGTAAAAGATGTGATTCCGGACATACAGTACCCTGGTGTCTACAAACTAAGTTGCCTCTGTGGTAGTAGTTACATTGGAGAAACCAAATGCCATGTCTCGGACCGCATTCGTGAACACAAAGCAGACCTTAAACACGGTAGGACCAACACCTCGGCCGTGGCAGATCATTGTTATAATTCAGTAGGCTCCCATGACATTGACTTTTCCAAGACAGAGGTTCTTTGTAAGCCATCTGGCTACCATGAGAGATTCGTTCATGAGGCTATCCACATATACAAGCACAGAGACAATTTCAACCGAGAGGATGGATTCTGGCTTAGCAATCATTGGAAGGATTTGATAAACCATTTCAGGTCTTAATTGATTGTTCACGCTTACAGTGGCTTTCAGACAGCATACATTAATTTTTCGTCTCCCCCCTCCTCTTTTCAGAACATACATGGACTCGTCCTTCTAAATAAACTGCCAAATCGCTGCGCGTGGCGCTGACGTTTGTAAAATAAATAATACACCGTTTAGAAATAAATTAATTAATGCAAACCGACACTTCTTTCAAACGTTTCTTGCCGTTGCTTTTTTCACACCTGATGACGACCGTTTGTGTTATGGTCGAAACGTCGTGAGAATTTTTATTGTTTTATATATATTTTATTATTTTTTTGTTTCCCTTCAACGTGACTTTACCGAAAGAGCTAAGAATAAGAATATGACGTTTCGATTGCAACACAAGCAACCGTCATCAGGTATTAATAAATGAGAAAACATACCTAGTAAACTTCGAAATGTTATGAAATGCAACACAGAGAGTCGGCTAACACAATAGTTAACACTTGACCTGGTTTATTACGTTCTTCCAAACATTGCCTAATTTTGAATTTAAGTGTGAGTTGTGTGGAAATTCTCCATGTAGGATTATCTGAACTGGTTCTGGGCATCCCTTAGGTTGACTGAGCCTCAAATGAGTACCTGGTGCAGTGTGCAAACATTGAAAAATGGGGAGACAAAGGCGGCCAGGTGTGGTTCAGGCCATTCACCCCAGTGTGTGCCGTGTCGGCCTTCATAGGTGCTCGATAACAGCACTGGCCCCAACAGTCTGGTAAGGCTAAACGGAGGATATCTTTGTTTTTGTGTACATCTGTAATAAGAGCGCCATCTACTGTATTATTGTGGGGCGTACATTGTTTTTACAGTTACGGTTTATCTAGAGTAGGGATAATATCTGGGGTAAAGGTGATGGGGCGGATCCACCAGGGAATCCTCCTGAACGTTCCCGAAGGTTCCAGGAGGGGCGTGGCCAGAGGCGGGGCTTAGTCGCCGGGGAGCAAATATAAGCCGGGGGCGCAGCAACGTGCGGGGTCGGTGTGTGAAGATCAAGAGGAGGTATCTGTCGCTGCTGCCCTGCCACCTCCAGCCGCTCCCCAGCGCGCCGTCAGCCAGTGGCTTGTTGGTGAGCGGGTGAGCGCCGCGGGGCAGCGCAGCCACCCGAGTGGTCAACATCCACAGAGAGAGAGGAACCGAAGCTGTACCGAAGAATTTATTAATAAATAAATTGAACTTTTACCATGTCGGAGCCACTCATTACACATCGACAGTTTTCAGTGTAGTAGACGCACTTATTACAACTCATAGGCGGCACCAGTCAGGAAACCTACCCAAGGTCAAACCACTTGGAATCATATTGGGATTGCTCCATTGAGATTACACAAAGTAATAATCGCACCCTACAAGTAGACCAATGCCCGATATACAGAGACAGCTGCTAATGGCGTTCCCCTTCAAACGGCTGAGAAGAGATGTGACGTAATATAAGGAACTTTCAGATGTTGAAGCATTTAAACGCCATATATAAGAAAAATAAAATTCGTATAGTATTGTCATAAAAACATTTATCAATACCCCAGTATTAATTACCACGTGATTATATTTGGAATGTCAAGTGTAATGGTGACTGGGATAAATAAATGTACTCCTTGTACCACATTCACACTTTTACACACGGGCACTTCTTTAAATCGGTGAAATAACCATCTTGAACAAAAGAGAACAGGCATACATACCCATTGCATGTAGCTGTTTCTTGAAATCTCATTCACAGCGCTGCCCAAGGCAAAACGCTTTTAGCGTTACGATTGCTCACCAATTACCGTATTTTCCCGCATATAACCCGCGGGGTATACCACTTTTTACAAACAAAACAAGACCCTGCGGGGTATATGGAGGTGCGGGCTCTCCCAAAAATATTTTACACGTGTGACTTGTCATGACTCGTTTACATTTTTTCATGGTAGGACTATCCACTATGCAACACTTACCTTTGACTAAAGCACTGCTGAATAAACCACTCACACTAAATTGCACGTTATTACGTTTTAAATGAATTGTTTGTACAATTAAACGACAATTTTTGAAGTGCGCACTGTTTACCGGCGACGAGAGAGCTGGGAGGAGAGAGAGGTGGGGGTTGGGGGGTGGGGCAGTTGGGGGGAGGTAGAGGTGTGGGGTTGGGGGGTGGGGCAGCTGGGAGGAGAGAGAGGGGTGGGGGGGCGAGGCGACGGCGTTACCGTAGTGCTGCTATTATCTGCGCAGTGCGCACTCTACCAGTGCTAAAACTGTACTTATCTACCAGTTATGTGTTATTTATTGGCTATTTACTTTTGTTACTTATTTACTGTTTTAAGTTCACTCGTTTACGGTTTGTTTTCTTTGTGCACGTTATGTTTTTAATGTTAACAATTGATAGTGGAATGTATTATAAATGTAAACTTCGTATTAATATGATGGAATTAAGCTGCGGTAACGACGTTAAATATATGAATGCATGCGGGGTATATGGCGGTGCGGGCTATCTGAAATTTGTTTTACACAAGATGCTATTTTTGCGGGGTATATGCGTCTGCGGGTTATATGCGTATGCGGGCTATATGCGGGAAAATACGGTAGTTTAACAGCACCCTCTAGGGTACTGAGTGTTCTGGCACAAGCAGTGCCAGAAGCGTATTTACACCTGTAAGATTTTACGTATTTATCCAGGAATGCCAGACTGAGTTGTGGAACCTTTTCTCAGGAGGGTCGCGCATTAGCTTTTTTTTCCCCAAATGTCTTCAGCCAGTTGGTGAGTGTTTATTATACATGTGGGAGAAAATCGGAGCACCGAGAGAAAACACAGAGAAAAAGCTTAACACGGAAATGTGTCGTTAAGCGTGCACAGGACACAATTAGTAAGGTGTCACGTAAACAAAACATACCAATGAGTTCCTAGTTCAGCAAACCAGTGTGTTGTAAATGTAGGTTTACTCTCCAACACACCAGTGTGCTAAACGAGTAAATAATTAGCATGTTTTGTTTACATGACACATACATTGGTGGTGGCGGGTTTAACGACATTCATATTTACGCCATGTAACCCATAAACATCTATGATGGATATGCGAAACAGATGGCGATTAATCTGTGCTGTACTGCCTTCTCCTGGCCAGCCAGGGTATGGCACCTCAACAACCACTGGAAGGGAGTTTCAACCGAGCCGAGCCTCCACAGGGATGGATTACAGGCACGCGCCTTTATCCAGAACAGGATGAGTCTGACGAATATATATTTTTAGGATGGTTCTAAGTCGGGGTAAGCGAATTGCAATAATATTTAAATGTTAGAGGAAATGCTTGCACCAGAAGAAAACCCACGGACCTGAGGAGCTAGCACTCAAAAGGTATTCAAAGATGTAAGAAATTCACTGCCATACTGCCATCCTGTGGCGGTACTGCTGTCTCCTGGCCAGTTTTTTTACAGGAAGACACAACGTACTCAATGGGCAATACCACTCATCTGCAGAAGCTTTTCACGGCAAATTGCTGCGTTTGTTCAGTGCATTAGTTCCTGGAAAATAGTTTCAATTGTTATTAACTTTTATTTCGACCTAAGTATATATACCCACTTGCACAAATGTATGTGTACTGTTAAGATCTTAAATTCAATATTGTTTTAATAGATTTCCTGAAATATTTTAATGTCATTCTCATTTGAGGTATAAAATAAAATTGCCATTTGATCATGACTGATAACTACGAGTGGTCTGTGGGAAGAGATACTCTACATTCAATTGGGTACATGTTAAACACTGTGCATTACATTGTCACCTTAATTGGTTTAAAACACTGCACTGTCTTCATTAAACAGACATTTGCAATAAAAGCTCGTAATTACGGAGAAAAACACCCAACCTACTTTTTAATAAGAACCTGATGAAACCTGCCAAGGAAAAAAATGCTGCTATAAAGGGTCTTAATGAGATGTAATGATAGTCCTTATTCACCTAAAGCAATAATCAAGAGAAAAATGGCACATTCCTTTGTGAGGGTCTATTTTAGCTTAATCTGCAATGCTACATCCTATTCATTTTTGAATCGGTCTACAAATCAAGGCTTCAACATCTGACCTTTAAATATAAAAATGATAAATAAGGCAGTTCTCACAATCCATCATTTGTACACAATATAATTTCTATACATCAGTTGGTGTGTGAAACATGTAAATTTGCTTACGTGTTCACCAATTAGCCTATTCAAGAAGTACACATTACTGACTAGCTTTGCAGAGCCATTTTTTTTATTTTATGGGATCTCTTATTACGTGGCTAAGAGTAATGTGATTGGTTCTGTAATTCAAATATAAAACGAATGTAAAGTACACGAGATTATAAAAAATAACCCAATGCAGTGATCATCAATCCACAGGATTGCATTTAATATCTTTATTGACAGATTTGTCTTACATATGTTCAGATAAGGAGTATTTAACATTTTACTTGTTTATTCATTTAAGTGGCAAATAATATATTGCATATTTATATAAATATAACCACATTTGCATACAGACACAAAATGGAAATAACATAACCCTAACTACCACAACACATATACAGCATTAACTATGGTAAACACACAATACCAATGGCTTGCCGACTTGTAAAAATGCAATTTAATGTTAGACCTTTAGACCAAGTAAGAAATTCCATTGCCATTGTCACCTGAACAATGTAGGAGACATTATTACCTAAATGTGCATTCTCCTTGGCAATGACCATCTAATTTCCAAATAAGGAAATCCACATCTACAACCGGGATGCGATTTGATAGTCAGGGCTCTGCTTTCTGTGAAATCCTTTCATCCCCATGACTTCACTTTCAACCATCATACCCGAGGAGGGGGCTAATTATACACCCTCTGGATATCAAAGATTTTGTTCATACTTGAATGCTTAGGTTTGGGGCTGGCTGCAAAGTGGCCAGAAGATGGAAGGACAATTGAACGTTATGGCAGTACCCCGGCTCTCGGATAATGTCCGTGATGCAGTCATTTTTAGTCTGTTGATGGTCGGCGATGCGGCAATCGACTCATCTTGACGAGCTGTACACGATGCATCACTATGGTGCATACGAGCGTTCAGGGTTTCAGCGCAATCGTCCTTGCTGCGTTTCAACATCGCGGAGTAACACTGGTTTAGGATTGATTGGTACCCCAGTCACAGATTTAAGTACACCCCTGGAAAAAAAATGTCCCAGAAATTAAATATTTGATTGCCTCGGCCATTTTGTATTATTTGGTACCCTGGGGTACTGCCATAAGGATAAATTGATCATTGAATCCCTCGATGTCACCACCTCATGTGGTTTTGTTCCACAAGAAGCCAAACACTTATTATTGGTATTGGGCAAACATTTCAATGTATAATGACCCTCCTGAAAAAGTCTTGAGAAAAATCAGTGAGGCTTCCCAAGGTAAAATGCATGCCTGTATTATTAGTATTCGAAAGTGTATATAACAAATTGAGGCAATATTACCTGTTATGTGTGCAATTATATTTTGTTTTCTTTGGTTCTTTCGGTAAAGTCACGTAGAATGAGAATTTTATTTTATTCTCATTCTACGTGACTTTACCGAAAGAACCAAAGAAGATGAATCCTTGCAGTCACGAAAGCTTTAAATCGAAATTTATATTTTGTTATTTGTCAATCTAGTATTGGATGAAGGCCTCCGCATTCCGTGTCAGTCATGGAGATGGTTAGACTATATTTTCCCCCCAATGGAAAGTTGCCAAATCACACCTTGCCTAAATCCTCCGATGTTAGCCCATTTACGAATTATTTGAAATATCCTTTATGAGTAAGACGTGAAAATATTGTTCTGCGAGTGTATGTTATACAAATGTACAGGAGAGCAAAATCAGCCAATGAATAAACCTTACTACTTTTCAAATGCACATTGGTTAGAGTCCGTATTGCTTAAGCATGCGCAAAAAGACAAAAAAACTTCCTTGCCAAAAGACCTGCAGTACTACATTGGCTTAGTGAAGAAGCATCTTCACATACTGCTTACCTACCTGGTCTAATAGTTGACACTTCAAAGATTTTCAACCTTTGAACTGCACATAATGTAGGAACACTTGATATTATTTCAAAACATGACCGAGAAGTGAATCATGATATAAAACTAACAAGTGTTTAACAAATAACGTTTAAGCACTTGTAACTTCGCTTTAAAGGAGCATGTAAATAGCTATACCGAACTGGTAGACAAGGTCTTATGTTAAATAATGATGGGTATGTAATACTGCATGTCTGGCAAAATACTTTCAAACTCTGCAGTCATAGGATTCCACGGTGATTCAATGTAAACACAGTCACACGTACTTCGGGATATGATTTCAAACAAAGCAGTTGCAAAAAACTAAACTGTTTTATATTTTGTTGATACCATTTCTGAAATCAGGAAAACAGTTGTAAAAATATTGTTTTGGGTGTGTGGATGTGTTAAACAAGAATGTGTATGAAGCAAAATCAGCCATTGAAAGAACTCAACTACTCCAAACGTTGAGTGAAGTTTTCTGGAAACACACCTTTACGGCCCATTAGGTCCTTGTATGCCATCCAATCAGATTCCTTGATTCCTGTGAGCCATCCTGCATCCTGTGGAAGGGGCAGAACACCCTGCTTTGGAAAAGTTCTTAAGATCACCTTCACCAGTGTACAGGGTTTGCTCGGTTAGGTTGAGCTTGAGGCGGCAATTAAGTATCACCCTGCTGTAATGTTCCGACTGTTAAAGTGAACTTAAAGATGAAAAGCAATAATTCTAAACAAGCAACGTACAGATGAAATGAAGAAGCCTTACTGCACAAAAGCGTTTGTTGTCGTGCAGTTGCTCTTTGTTGTGTCGGTGCATTCTCAAGGGACATATTGGAACGTCCCGGTACCTGTTCGTCGGCGTTTTCAAAGGACAACACGAGAACCACGTCTCCACGCAGCAAAGTCAGCTCGTCAGCATCCAGCGGAGTGTAGTCATGCTCGGCCTGCACCTTCATGCAGAAAGAACTGTCACAAGCAATATTCCATGCATAAAGTTGTAGTCCTCAATATAGTAAACTGTAATAAAGCTCTGCAACAAAACCATATAAAAAACTGCTGTTAAAAAATGCTATAACGATATAGTTTATACGGTTTCACCCATAAATTGTATTGTTTATTGATAAAAAGAATAAACCATACATGAAGCAATGATTAATATGAGTATTAATACGCTCGTATTAAATGGGTTATTCACGTGTTAAATTAAATCAGGCGAGCATAACCAGTTATTTGTTGGAATAAGCACATTGTATCATCAGTTTTACAGAACCCACTGTTGAAGAAAATCAAACATGTTTTCAGACAAGTTACTTGCAAATATTTGAGGTATACAAATAGCAGCCTTGGTTAACACACATCTTATGGCTGTTCTAATAAATTGCACCTTGTACAAGAATCCAGGGGGCATGTCAGTGCTTTCTGATGACGTGTTAACATGCTTGCTTGCTTCAACCTCAGCCTCTCCATTGGTCACAAATGCCATGTCCAACTCTGGACCAGAGTCCACCGGCTGCACAAACACAAAATTCAGTTATCATTGTTTACATTATCATCCATGTGCACGATTCCACATTTCAATAATGTTACATAGTAATCTTAAAGAAATTTTTCATTTTGTTATGTGCAATGCGAGTACTTTATCATAAACAGCAAATAATAAAATACATTGGTGAGCCTTACAGTGGGGGTGCTGGCAGTGACTTCCACAATGGGAGTCTCCATAGGGATGGGAGCCATCTCAGCGGGAACGACATCCATTTCAGCGGGAACGACAGCACTTTCAGATTCTGGGCTCTTAACCAAAGGACCCATGGCTGCTTCCATTGTCTGATCAGATGTAACATACACAGAGTAAAAAGACCTTGAACTCCTCTTTTGACATTCCTTACTCGTGTATCTTGTCAGCTTGCTATACATAAGTGATCTTCACTATACATGGCCATGGTGTGAAATAGTAACTCGTATGAAATCATAAATGGATGCAATAAAGTAAAAAATAAACTGCTTAGTTGTATGAGCATAAAAATGGCATTTTTCTGTATTTTTGTTTCCATTTATTTTTCCACCAGATTTAAATATATACTCTGCCTATTCTATGCCAAAGAAGCCTAAATAATGACGAAAGCAGGTTTTTATAACCACTTTTAATGGATTAATTGTATGAGAAATATAAAATTTTAAATAGTAGCATTGGAGAAAAAATTATTGCACTTTAGAATACAGCAGTGATTATGTATATGCTTCAAGATCTAAATATTTATTTAGACAGGAGGAATCCGATGAGCTATGAAGCTCTTTTTCAGATGTCCAGTATTGGTGGGTCAGCAAGTCTAAGTCACCTCTCACCAGTGTTAAGTTATTATTTTCATAGCAATGTAATACAAATCAATACCATATCTCACCTCACTAGTTTCATCCAAAGATGCAGGTTTCTGTGATTGACAAAATACATAATTTTAAAAACTTTTCACTTTAAAAATGCATTACTTCTATAACTAGAAATATTAAATGTTAGATATTTGTTTTAAATTTGATTTGAAGCTTTTATGACTGCAGGAATTACTCTTTGGTTATTTTGGTAAAGTCATGTAGAAATAAAATAAAATAAATAATAGAATACAACGTTTCGATTGCAACACAAGCAACCGTCATCAGGTATGAATGAATGAGAAAACAAACTTAGTAAACTTTGAAATGTTATGCAATGCAACACAGAGAGTCGGCTAACACAACAATTAACACTTGACCTGGTTGATCACGTTCTTCCAAAGATTGCTAAATTTGAAGTTAAGTGTGAGTTGTGTGGAAATCGACCCCGTCGAGGTGGTTCAAACTTGATTTGAAGCTTTCGTGGCTGCAGGAATTACTCATTGGTTCTTTCGGTAAAGTCACGTCAAGTTCCAATTTCTCTCCTCCGGCCGCTATTATTAACATGCTAATTTATCTGCGCCCCCCCTCTCTCTCTATTTAATGTCTCGTCACAGAGTCGTTCTTTCCGTGTGTCTCTGTGTCTCTCTGTCTCTGTGTCTCTCTCTGTGTCTCTGTGTCTCTCCACCATGTGTGTCTTTCTCTCTCTATGTTTATCTCTCTCCGTCTCTCTTTCTGTGTATGTCTCTCTCCATGTCTGTGTTTGTCTCTTTTTAACACTTAACTTCAAATGTAGCAATCTTTGGAAGAACGTCATCAACCAGGTGAAGTGTTAACTGTTGTGGAAGCCGACTCTGTGTTGCATTGCATTACATTTCTAAGTTTACTGGGTTTGTTTTCTCATTCATTCATACGTGATGACAGTTGCTTGTGTTGCAATCTAAACGTCGTATTCCATTATTTATTTTATTTTATTTTCACGTGACTTTACCGAAAGAACCAAAGAGTAATTCCTGCAGTCACGAAAGCTTCAAATCAAGTTTGAACCACCTCTAAGGGGAGGATTTCCACAAAATTCACACAACTTCAAATTTAGCAATCTTTGGAAGAACGTAATAAACCAGGTAAAGTGTTAACTGTTGTGTTAACCGACTCTGTGTTGCATTGCATTACATTTCTAAGTTTACTAGGTTTGTTTTCTCAAACTTCCAATTTCTCTCTCTAAATTTTACCATGTTTGTCAAGTTTCAATTTCTCTCCTCCAGCCGCTCTCATTGACATTCTAATTTCTCAGCCCCCCCCCCACTCTCTATATAATGCCTCGTCATAGAGTCGTTGTTTCTCTGTGTCTCTGTGTGTGTCTCTCTCTGCTTGTGTGTCTCTCAATGTGTCTCTCCCCCATGTGTGTCTCTGTTTCTGTGAGATGGTAGAGAGTTTGGAATCTGATTGATTGCTTCTGTGGACAGGTGCCTTTTATACAGGTAACAAGCTGAGATTAGGAGCACTCCCTGTGTTAGGAGCACTCCCTGTGTGCTCCTAATCTCAGCTCGTTACCTGTATAAAAGACACCTGCGAGCCAGAAATCTTTCTGATTGAGAGGGGGTCAAATACTTATTTCCCTCATTAAAATGCAAATCAATTTATAACATTTTTGACATGCGTTTTTCTGGATTTTTTAGTTGTTATTTTGTTTTAATTCGATAAGGTGACACATTTGCATTATCTTACCTGGCTTGTTTCTTCTGCTGTACTGACATTCTTTGAACAAAATAGGAAAAAATAAAGGCGTCATTAACATTACAGAGCTGAATGCCAATGCAGCATACTCGGAAAATAAACTTCTGATTGTGATATTAAACATTGTGCAATCCTAAAACTCCAAACACACACACATACTAAAAGTTATTTTAGTGTTTTAAATAGTGAACAAAAATAATCCACAGGCTAAAAAGGGCATTACATAACTTTCTCATTATGATCAACTTCAGTTTTCAAATTATGGGAAAAACATATATAGCTATCATTTTAACACTTGATAAACAGTTCAAAAGGCAAAACTGCACATAAGGTCAACACAAGCACTGAGATACTTGAGAAAATAAATAAATGTAGTAGTGTTGTAAACAGTGTTTTATGCCCACATAAAGCATATGCAATGATCGGCTTAACATTTCGTTTAAGGACAGCACGCTTCCTTGATAATGTTCTCACCATACATTATCAGGTGTGAAGATTGTCAAACAAGTAAAGCCTCAAGTTAACTTGTAATCTGTATTATCGACTTATCCCAAATGCAAATAAAACATGACAAAGCAAAACAGAACTCAAATAAATGATAAATAAAACACAACCTGCTGGAAGCAGTAAAATCTGGTAATGTATATCTGAAAAGAAAGCCGAATGTAAAAAAGCCAAATTAAATCGCAGAAATTTTAAACATGAAAACATCCACTCATTTACAAAACGACTTATTACCCAGCTTTACTAAAATGACAATCTATGATTACTGGACCACTTAGAATTTGGTTAATGATTACACTTGCTCATTAAAGTCACATTCATTTGGTCTGTTCTTGGACCTACAGTACCTTTTCACAAGTGGTACAATTAAAGCAAAGAGGATTTACACCAAGGACCTACGTTGCTTTAACTGCCATGTGAATGCGTGTTTTTGTGGCTTTTCAAAATCACAATGTGAATTTCGCGATGGTGAATGTGGTTCTCTGAAATGTGCTTTTGTTAAAAAGTGCAATCATTAATTTTGGACCAGTATTCCCACTGTCAGTGTGATTTACAGAACAGGGTATGGAAATAAGACAAAAAAGACAGCAAAGGAATGAAAACGCACAATATTTTTTTTAGGGGAAAAATACACAGCTTATTTACAACTAGCCCTTTGTCCATCCAAGGACGGGTGTATTGGAGTAAATCTGAAACTTGCAAGCGAAAAGCAGACCGCGACGTGATATTCATTGCATTAATGTGTGTGCAATTTGTTAGGGCGCAGTGACACAGACCTATTTCAAGGTTATAATCCCTTGTTCATCATGACGTCCTTTTTACTTTGATGTCTCAATAGCGTTAAGGAGATCGCGTGACGTGAGGGTTCTGCCTTTGTATTGAGGGTTGTAAGTTGACGCCGAGGAGAGGGGAGGAGGCGCCTCGACCCCCATGTGGAGTGACATCAGCCGCTAATTATTATGAATGGGGGGGGGGGTGTCCATTTGGAGGACGTCACCTTATGATTATTAATGGTGGCTGTTCAATGTGGAGTGACGTCACCTGCTCATCATTATTAATGAGGGGGGAGGGTGCTGCATGTGGAGTTATGTCACCTGCTCATGATTATTAATGAGGGGGGGGGGGGGTCCATGTGGAGGACGTAACCTGATTATGATTATTAATGAGGGAGGCTGGTCGACGTGGAGTGACGTCACGAACGTTGCACACAGACATTCTTTGCTCATTATAGTAGGTAATACGAATGGGGGGGGTGTCCATTTGGAGGACGTCACCTGCTCATGAATATTAATGAGGGGGGCTGGTTGATGTGGAGTGATGTCACGAGCGTTAAGGACAGACATTCCTGGGTAATTATAGTAGGTATGGGTCAATACATTGGGAAAGTACAGGTACATATCTACTCTAAGGATGGCAAATGTATGCCCTTTAACAGTTCTGGATTGGGAACATTTTAGGGAAAGGATTTGCAAGTGCATTGCTGGATTGGTCAAGATATAAGTCCTACATCTTGGGTCCTGAAAAGGTACCTCAGCCTCCAGCCGCCCGTACAAACTCGCGAAGCGAAGGTCGGCAGCCTCATCTTCAGATAATTCGGAGTCGTTGGGTTGCCTGGCCTTAACCCCATCCTGGGCTGCTACACGTCTATGTTCTGTGCTAGGCTGCGCTTTCCTTGTGAAAGTCACTGTGACATTTATTTGATGGTCAGGTTGTGCCTCTGCATCCTTTTTAGAAATATGTACATTTCCAGCATCTCTAGCAATAGTGTTGTCCTGCATGTAAGCTATCTCACTTTCACAAACAATTCCACAATCCTCTACCAGAGTTTCAAGAGCTTTATGGTTTAATTCAAATTGTGTTATTACCTCTTTCTCTTTGTCGTCTGATTTGAAGAGGAGCTCCTCATGTCTATCTTGCATATTGTCAATATTGTCTTCATGTTTCTGTCCAATTCTTCCCTTCATACTATGTCTACTATCCCAGTTATCTGTACTTGTCGTAGGTATTTTGGCATCTTTGCTTTTGGCATTATCACTTTTTGTGTATGAAACATCCGCCCGAGAACTTTCCCCAACAGCCTCTGACATACAATCAGGCACCGAATGCCCCTGCTCATTCACATTATCCTGATGGTATATTTTATCAGCTGTGCCAAATTCTGGGGTTGTGTCCACATCCTGGGTCCAGCTATTACTTACTAGGGTTTTTGAGGCAATGAAATCCTTACAGGACAAAGGATCCTCAAGAACTTTTTTTAAATCAGTGCTTAATTCCTGAAAATTATCCCCTCTGTTGGCAAATGCCTCATTCAACCAACTGTCCTGATCTGGAAAAAAGTTTAACATATCTAAATGTTTTTCATCAGTAACTTCTGTTGCATAAATATTATTAAGTGTCTCGCAACCTGACATCTCATCCTCTTGTTTCAGAGTACAAGCATTCTCACAAGCTATTCTGTTATCGGAAAATAAACGAATTGATGTGATACATTTTTTAAACTCAGAATCAATACTATAATCCTCAGATGCAATGGGGATGTGTGATTTTTCAACTTCGGATTGATTAACTGACACATCAGGATTACTTGCAACTCCCACAGCTGTCTCACATCTAGGTCCTATCAACTGTTCCTTATCTACATTTTGACCCGCATCAGTATGGAGCGGTGTACTCACAGCAATATGGGAATCCTTGTATTCCTCTTCTTCAGCTGCTGTTTCTGGCTCTGCCTCCTGTTGACTATTCTGTCTCCTGTGTTGATCAAAGCCCTCCTCATTTTCAGCACTCGGCTGAATAATGTCTAAAGTTTCAGCTGCAACCTCGTCAGCGGTATGCATGTGTTCTCTGTGATCATCATCGAACACTCCTTCATCTTTTACTGATTGTTTATCTCCATACTTGTTTGATGTTAAGCTGCTAGCCACATTGTATGCAGAGCACAGACTACCTACAACTCGACCTTCATCATTGGATTCCTTCTCTGAATGGTAATTTGTGTCATGAATCACTTCAAGAGACCATTCATTACCCTTACCATGCTCTTGATCTGACTCAACATTGGCACACACATCATCTGCTAACTGCAAAGCACCATGACGAGGCTCATCCAAATTATCTCCATCCTGTTCACAGCTTTCAGATTTATCAGGGGCAGATGACACACATTGACTCTCAAACTGCATAGCCTCACCACTCTGTTCGTCTAATTGTGCAGAAGCTACACTTCTCTCTCCTACATCTACATCTGCACAATCACTCTTCAGAGAAAACTCTGCACTGACACTGCCGTCATACGAGCCAAGGACGACTTTAAAAGGTTCGCTTTCCGAATTACACTGCTCATGTTGGACAAGTGAAACTTCAAGCTCCTCCTGTTTATCCCAACTCCAGCAAGCTTTTTCTTCGCTTTCACCTGCACTACCTGGCTGCTCATTGAATAAGTCATCCGTGAACATATAATTGCTGGTATGGCCTTGCACAGGCTCAGATTGCTGCGGAGGAAGATGGAGAGACAAAGAGACAGCAAATAGAAGATAAGGAAAATCCAAAACATAAAATAAGAATGTAAAAAAGAGCTTTTGTAAGTGAAATGTAAAAGAAATTAATATTTAAATACACAGCAATACTATAGTAACGGGGAATTGAAAGAATGTGTCTTTACAAATGTACCAGTTATTAAAGTGAAGGCTACAATAAATCATGGAGATAGATGCAAACTATTTTAATGCACACCAATAAACTGACAGAAAATAATCACAAAGACTAACCAACATGAAACTACTCTTGAGTATCAAAATCCATACTTACTGGCTGCGCTGGTTTAACAGGTTGCACTGGTATCACAGGCTCAACAGGAATCACAGGCTCAACCGGAATCACAGGTTCAACGGGCATCACAGGCTGAGGAGGAGGAGGTTGCACCTGCTGAGGACTTGCCTTTTGTGAAAAAAAAAACCAATACAGGTAATGCAATAGATATATATTTATACAGTTAAATCAGAGTTCAATAGTTGTACTTTAAAAAGACACAGGTGCTCGTCGCTGAACTTTACACACAACTCACCAAGTGCATACTAGTATCTTCAAACAATAACCACTTGTGAATTCCTGCATATCAGTACTTATTGCATCAGACCCAGAGACAATTGGTTGAGCCAATATCCAACAAGGATTTTAATTCCCGACCTTTCGATTGTGAGTCAATTGTAATGACTACAACGCTACTCAGCCAGCTATGGTAATGTAGTTGTCGGTAAATGGTTATGTCAACCATTCAAACCAAAGCATCAAAACTATCCATTTTTAAGCTGTCCTCTAACCTGACTGATTGAGCTTTACTGAATGTGTTATTCAGAACATTTTCTCCATTACTTTTTTTTCAATGTCTAACATGTTCACCTCACTATGCCTGGGTTTTGTAACTGTATGCTAAATACCAAAGTACTACGTAATTTATAGTGTAATACTTCTTCGACAATTACGTATTAAATAACTGAAATGTTATATAAATGTATAAAGTGTTGTATCAAGTGTTTTGTAACAAAACTATCCTCAAAACTTACCTCCCATGCAAGATCAAACAGTAACGTCTGGCAGCGTAGGGAAGAAACCACAAAAGCAATGGCGATATCTACAAAAACACATAATTATTTTGATCATCTTGGTGACGCAAACATTTTCATGAAAAAACATGTTTTACCTAGTATCTTTAAACAGTTGCTTCTAGTTACCATTATTGCTATAAATGTTGCTTATATTTAAAATGACAACATATTACAAAATACAACATATTACTTTACCCAATTTTACGTTGTTTGCATAGGGGCCGCTATTTCATTTGACCAGCTTTGTTACTGCTTTGCAACCACTTCCAGTTGTGCTCCCTTGACAGCTGGATGAAGGCCTGAAGTCGTCACCCTCCCTCAAGGTCTCAAGATGCAGCAATCCAACTCTCTCTTGTACATGAGTTCATCTCGGTTTATATCTCCAGATATAAACCTTTGTTTGGCATGTACAGTACTTTCCCTGAACTGCCATTCCGCCATCAGTTTGGACCATCATCTCTTCTCACGATTTGTCCTGCTTTAGTCAACTTACTCTTCTTAACAGTAAAAAAAATTCCATATGTTTTCTGTAAATGGATATTACCTGAGGTGTTGTTTACACTCTGTGGCATTAGTTAATTTTTGGTAACATGTTAAGAGGCTGCAAATTAATAATTAACGTTATGGAAGAGACAGGTTGGTTAATTAGCACGTATAGTGGCGTAACGCGCGCAGGGTTGCAAACAGCGGATGCATTCACGCGCAGGGTTGCAAATAGCGAATGCATTCACGTGCGGGGTTTGCAAACAGCGGGTGCATTTCAAGGCGAGCAGGTGCAAGATCCACCAATTGAGATTCAATCAATTCTGGAACTGGCTAGCAAGATAATGCCCAACCCCGTACGCCTTACCCTCCAGTGCTTGTCTGAAGCTAGGGAAGCTTCCCGAGGAAATTCGTCCTTACAAGCTGCTAACGAGCAGCGGGTTGGGTTCCGGGAAACAGGGACCAAATGGTTGTTGGGTGATAGGGCGTAGCTTCACTGCCCCCAGGTCCCGGTGGGTACGTCCCCTAAACTAAATAAGCCTTGGCGAGGCCCCGTAGAAATTGTGGAGGTTAAGAGCCCACAAAGGGTACACATCCAGTTTGGTCGCAGGCGCTGCTTCGTGCATTCGTCGCGGCTTAAGCCTTTTTGTCCGCCTAATGGTGTCCCTTCATCTCCATTGCCTGAGGGCTGTGTGTCAGGTGCGCCCGACGAGCTGGGGCGTGTGTCCGTGGATGTGGTGCCTCAGCGGACTTCTTCTCCCGCAGAGCCCCAGTGCCTAGGGTCGGTGGAGCAACCGGTTACACCGCCGGGTTCGGGACCGCGTGAGGAGGTGCAACCGTCATCCGCTCCTTCTTCTCTGGCCGGACTGCCTTCTTCATCTTCTCGGGAGGGGCTGCGCCCCTTGGGCCAGCTTCATCCCGCCCCGGGATCCCCCGAGAAGGCCTCCTTCACCCCGTCTATGGGCCCGGCGACGAGGACCCGCTCCAAAACTACTCGTTTTAAGTGAGCCTTGTTAGCAGACAAGCCTCCTCGACACCACGGCTGTGGTCTTACGCACGTGCCGGAGGGGTCATGGTTGACCCAAGCCCCTCTCGTGCCGTGGGTAGTGACTTGCTTGCGGGGGGGGTTGTGCTGCTGCCAGGGGGTAGTGTCGGCGCGTTCTTGGCGCGTTCGCAGCGCCCACATTCGTTGTTGGACCTTTCCCTGCGCGTTCGCGGCCGACGGGGTTCGTTTCCGTTGATGTCGCTGTTGTTTGTTGCGTACAGGGGGGTGCGGGGCAATATGCTGCCAGGCGGTCGCGGCGGCGCGTTTTTGGGCACGTTCGGTGTGCCTATATTTTTGACCAATTTATTTTGTTGGCGGGTTCTGGTCAAACCCCTTTTTGTTCAAAACTCTTTTCCTTTATATCCTCCCCTTTTGATTTTCACGATTACTGTACATACATTAAGGTCTCGGCATGTTAGACACACTGACTTGGGAAAAGTCGTCCACACATAGGCACTGGCCGTGCTCAATTGGCCACGCTTACAGCCCTTCCCCCTTTCCTTTCCACGGCTGAGTGGGATTGCTGCCGGGATGGCTGTGCGCGATCTTGTACTTCGGCCATTTCTGACTTAACGAGTACCGGGCTTACAGCCCTTCCCCTTCCCTTCTCAGCTGGGTGGGATTACTGCGGGGATGCCTGCGTGTTAAGTGGGATGCCGCAGAAGTTCTTCTCCCTCCCTTTTGTAATTGGGGTAGTTTTACAGCCGGGTCAGCTGTGTTTTAAAAATGAGGGGGTAGTGTAGTGATGTCATTTATGTCACTACGGCAGTGGTTCTTAACCTTGTTGGAGGTACCGAACCCCACCAGTTTCATATGCGCATTCACCGAACCACTCTTTAGTGAAAAATAAAATGTGATTTTTTTTAAATTCAAGACATAGATATGTTTTTTACTGGTACACAAAATGAGCCGTGCATGAACATTACCTTGTTCAAAGAATAAAACCAACACAATGCATAAACTCACAACAAATTACATACCTGGAAATCAATGTGACTTCTGCTGTTGCCTTTGAGAGATCAGTTCAGATATGCGTGGCTTCACCTTGGCAAGTGCCACTCTCATGTCATTTTTACAGCAAAGTCTGTTCCTTTTCTTCGTTTTTATGTCCAGCATCCTCGAAAAGGATTGCTCACAAAGATATGTTGTAACAAATGGTATAAAAAAATCCAGGGCTTTCTTAGCAATAACTGGATACTTGTTCATTTGTCGACACCAAAACGTTGAGAGTGTTGTTGTTCTGAAGAGTTGCTGTTGAACCTGGCTCTGCTGAATTTCAATGATTTCGTCGAGGAATTCATCATTGACATCTGCTGTTTCAACAGCAAACGTGAACGGCTGTCTCACCCATGCTGGATATGACTCTCTTGTAGGGAAATATCCGTCGAGAGACTTTGCAAGCTCATTTAAGTGCGTGGCAATTGTTTGCTTCAGTTCCGTGGATACAGAAATATCTCCGATTCCAGACACATCTTCGATCTTACTTGCACAGTCGTCCAGAAGCGGGAAGTTTGCGAAGTTATTGTTCTCTGTTCGTCGTTTCCATAACGGTAGCTTTTTTTGAAAAGCCTTCAGGTGTTCTTCCGCTTCCATGATATTGACTCCACCACCCTGCATCTGCTGATTGAGATGATTGAGAGCTGCGAATATATCAGCCATGTACGCTAAAATGAGAATGAACTCAGGATTTTTGAAGCAATCTGCATGGCAGTGTTGGTGCTCTTGCAAAAACAGGGCTAATTCCACACGCATGGCAAAAACACGATTCAGCACCTGTCCCCGGGATAACCACCGAATATTAGAATGGAGCAGAAGTACCTCAAATTCAGAGCCCATTTCTTTACACAGCTCACTGAAGATGTGGTGCCTCAGAGCACTTTTTCGCACATAGTTCACACATTCCACCACAGTTTTTAATACTTCTGCCATTTTTGGAGGAAAGGTTTTTGTTGCCAACGCATGCCTGTGCAGAATACAATGCGTCACAATGATGTGTGGTGCATCGGCCTTTACTAGCGCACCAAAACCAGACTTTCTTCCCAGCATGACTGGAGCTCCGTCCGTACAAACTGCAGAAACCATATCCCATGAAAGATTGTTGTCTCTGAAGAAGTCATCCACAAGCTTCTTCACATCGGCTGCCTTCGTTGTTGTTGTAAGAGGCTTACAAAATAAAAACTCTTCTTTTATCATGTCGTCTTTCACATAGCGTACAAAAACAGCAAGCTGGCTAAGATCAGAAACGTCTGTGGCTTCGTCGAGTTGAAGGCTGAATTTTGCCGGGCTTGAAATCAGATCCGCGACTACTTGAGCCAAGATGTCTTTACTCATGTCTTCTATTCTGTCACTGACGGTGTCATTTGAAAGGGGAATTTGGGATAATTTACCTTCGGCCGCTGTTCCGAGTATCAGATTCGCCATCTTTAATGCAGCTGGTTTCACAAGTGTTTCACCAATGGTGTGTGGCTTGCCCTGCTTTGCGATCAGGTAAGCAACTTCGTACGATGCTGTCAGGATCGGTTTGTTAACAGGTACAAATCCAAGAGCAGGCAGAGTGGCCCTTTCATCGAATCTGGCTCTCTTCACCCTGAATTCAGCAAGTGTTGTGTTCTTGTATTCCCCGTCTCCATGCAGCTTCAAGAAGTGTTCCTTTAGTTTTGCCGGTGCAAGACTAGAGTTGCTCAACTTGGCGTTGCAAATCATGCAGATAGGACGCTCACATCCCATCACGTTCCGTGATACATGAGAATCCATGTTGTACATATTCGTCCGACCACTTTCTTCTTTTGCCCGACATAGTTAGTATGGATAAAATATTAAAGAAATCACACGACGTACGACAACAGTCACACGTTGACTACTGAGTACGCACTAAATTCCCCGCAGCGCTGATTGGCCAAGCAGTGTAGCATGATCATCTGCAGCCAGTGATGGCCAAGCGGGCCGTGTGTGTCATCACAAATTTACACAATAATTCAAGTGTGTCCGGACCTCCGTGGCGGGGGCTCTGCCGAACCCCTGAGATCGACTCACCGAACCCCTGGGGTTCGATCGAACCCAGGTTAAGAACCACTGCACTACGGTGTTAGCGCCAGCCACTATCATAGGAGTGCTGCTGAGCGCCGAGAACCTCTCTAGAGGGCTCGAGGGACACGTGACAAGGAGCCGGGAGCTCCTGACTTGATACAGGAGGGGTCGTGGCCGAGGGCGGGGTGAGGCCGCGGCCAAGGAAATAAAGGAGGAGCCCCGACGGGGATCGGGGCTCGTTTGTGGGGATCGTCCTGGGGTCCCGGTCTCTTCGCTCTTCACTCTTCATTCATCGGGTTGAGTCTTAGCTCGGCATCATGGGTCAGGCAGCGTGTGTGCTGACTGGCCCGTTCGTTATAGTTAACTCGCATGCACACAGCAAAGAATATAGCCACACCTAGCTATAGAACCTGAAGAGGTTAGAGAAGTTGTTAATAAACATGTTGCCTTCAACTCTAGTGTGTGCGCCTCTGTATATTACACTATACATGTATAAAAATTATACTTTATAGACAGTTCGATGAACCATTTACACAAACATGCAATGTAGGTGAAGAATATCTCAACACTTGATAAAGCATTTAAAACCAACCTGGTTTATGGCAGGGCTCATGGGTGTTGTGACCGTGTCTGGCTTCAGAGGGTCAAAATCGATGTCCAACAAGCTCCCCTCATGCTTCTTAGCTGCTTCTGTCTACAAAGGAAATATGCAAGTAGTATCAAGATGTATATTACCATAATAAAGTATGTAAGCTAAATATAAGATTATGGTAAGAATTATCTTCTAAACTATTTAATGATAAATTATATATACCTGTCAATCCATACGGTTTACCTGTATTTTTGTACAGGGAAATTTAGTTTTCAGGTCCATACGGCATACATCCGTTTCAATACGGACAAAAAAAAGTCTATTTGTTTGTGTTTCTCCCTTATGATGGGACTTTGTAGGATGAACGTTGAGATTTATAAGGGCATGGGGTGACGAATAAAGTCTGAATTGGTCTGTAATAAGGTAGGCACTGATAAGGGGTTGACAGGTATGATCAAATAGTATGATAATTAATAATCGTGTGCCAATTTTAGACATTACGGGGAATACTTATATACTCTTTACATCCTAAAGAAGCTCTCAGCACGTGGACAGAAACATCGCGGGACAACCAAAAGGCATATCGGCAAGGGGACCCTCTACATACATTGGGTAATTCATGATAATGCAAATCATGACCACAATTCAGTAGAATGAAGATGCCAATTATGGCAAGATATAACATAATATTCTGTACCGGTGCGCTGCTAAAGTCTGGGACAAAGTTGTCATCAAACAGGCTGAAGATAGCTTCCTGCTGCACTTCCTTGCTGGGCGTAAGCTTGGGTGGTGGTGGTACTGGCGGCCCCTTGCGTCCCTGAAAAAAATCAGCCGAGACACAGCCCCTCAGATACTATTCGAGTAAAACATTTCCACAATTTTAATTGCAACAAATTTTACTGAACATTACACGAACCAGTGATGGAGACTTGAGAGGAGCTGACATGTGGTTTGGACCAAGTGCCTGCTCATCGCCCGTGAAGAGGGAGGTGGGGGCTTGCACGGTGATCTCCGGCGGGGAACACGGGGTCTCCGTTATCTTTAGTGGCCCTGAATCACTGTTACACAGGGTCAAGAGAAAACCAGGTTATAAAGAAGAACATATTTGGAGTGCAAGAAGAATAAATGAACAGTTTAAGTTACATTTATTACAGCTGATTTTTTCTTTATTTTGTTGTCCTTGCCCTGCACCCCCAATTAGCATGGATGGCTATGCACGGTGAAAAAGAAGTTCAACATATAAGCATTCATTAGTTAAAAACCCTTTATTAACAAAAAATATAATACTTGGTACATCACACAATTAATTAAATCAATCGACCATAGCACTATTCAAGTGGTTCATAAAAAGTTGGAATCAATCATTTAAGATACAATTAATGAAAGGTAATTTACATCATGAGCGTAAATTAACTGTTATCCATGCACAAAATATAATCAGTGTGCATTATATACAGTATAATATATGCCCTCTACCGAGCCTACAAATGTATATTTTATAAATGAAAAACATCTTTCAAAAAAATATGGAGTACTACAGTATAACGTAAGCCTCTTACTAAAAATATTGAAGTAGATGGATGAGATTAAAACCACATGATCTAGGGCTGGAGTCTATACTTTTGTTAAATCATGGCAAGAGGCTGGCAAATTATTCAGAAACACTCAATATCAACTACTTGTACATTCCTGGGCTTTAAGGAAAAACTTACCCATGTTCATATTCTCTAAATCATGTATGCATAATCATTGTGAGTCAACAAAAAAATAATGTCATGAAGCAACACTATAACCGAAAATGTGAGTGTGTACACACACAACCTGTGACAATAAATAGAATAAAAGTGCTGCCCTTATTCACAAGGGCAGTGTCAATCTCTAGTACCTGGGTGCACCTCGAATGCTGAAGGCCAGGTCAGCGTGCTGCTCGCCCAGCTTCACCATCACCTCGTACAGCTCGTGGTTCAACTGCAGTGGAGGAACACAAACAGCATAATTTGAGTGACCTTATGTTGTATAGACACAGAACAACCCTATTATATTAAAGAGGTCTCAATAAATAGGTATTTAACAATCCACCCTCCAGGTGAATTATCACGATTCAAGACCACTATTCAATCCAACCTTTGATTGTTTTTGTTTGTTACTCTCATTTGCATTGTGGGTCATATTTTCTATGTTGTTTGTATTGTTCGTTGTATTAACCTAAAGACAATTAGCATTGTTTTTTTATCATGTGAATAACTAATTAAATAATGTATTCTTATACGGATTATTTGATGTATATACGATGAGCATATAAATCAATTTCATTTTTTTATTTTGACTTGCCTATCAACAACACGTGGGTTTAATCTGGAATTAGCAAATCACTGTGTTACATTGATTTCAACATAAAATAGCATTTAATGTACTTTTATTTTGTACATCTAAAAATATCAGCACATATCTCCTTTTAATGAGACAGCCTTGTGTTCTCTTTAATCAATGAACACATGCTGAAATGTGAAACGAATGTGCTAGTAACACGTGGATTATTTTTAGACTACAATCTACACCGTAAATGCTAACATAAAAACATATCTGCACAAAAGTATTTTTTTATTATATTGTAAAAAGAGATATTGAAACGTTCATGTTCATATTGTTTAACCAGGTGAGAACTCAATGAACAAGGATAGTCTCAATTATAAGAATGGCCTGGTACATTTGTTGTAAAAGTGCATTTTAGGTCCCAACTGTGTGTTTTCCAATTTTTAAATACACACATACATTAATGTCTATACACTGTACGTATACCAACTATTTTCTTGTATTTTGACCTATAACTTTCATGACTGCAGGAATTCATATTCTTTGGTTCTTTTGGTAAAGTCACGTAGATAGAAAAATAATAGCCAGGCTACAGTCTACATTAGTGTTTAAGTTTTTATTTTTTTTATTTTGTATTCACTTTATTTTTTGTAAAAAAAATTCTATCTACGTGACTTTACTGAAAGAACCAAAGAATATATTTTCTTGTAGCCGTTTATTTAGTGCAAGATCCCTCCTAGCTCATAAATACACAATCCAACCTCAGGAAAAATGCAAGAGATAGAACATTTTAATTTTTTTTTTATAGTGGACTATCATACATTGGGAATAATATCACAGTGATTTCACTTATCTGTAAGGCAAAAATAATATCTTAGTAATATCTCACATTTCATCAAGTTCACGAAGGAACTGAACCAACAGAATCTAGATACCTAGGCTGAAAACAGCCGAGGTGTTCAGCATATAAATCTGTGCAATCATGCCACTTTTTAGGATTCAATTCCAAAAACATGTCATCACTCTGCCATATTGATAGTGATGTCAGCAAAAAGTTTCACTTTTGAGTAATTCAGTTTTACCAGACCAATCTCTTTGTGAAATTTCTCCTCCAGACTCGCAATGCTTCTGAAAGTGTTCACGTAAAATCCAATACGGCTGCAAGGATAAAAACAAAAGATGACAAAGTTAGAATACATCTTTTAAATAAATCTTTAAAACACTAGCCTTTGACCCATCCAAGGACGGGTGTATTGCAGTAAATCTGAAATTTGCAAGCGAAAAGCAGACTGCGACATGATATTCATTGCATTAATGCGTCTGCAGTTTGTAAGGGCGCGGTGACGCAGACCTATTTCATTTTAAGGTTATAATCCCTTGTTCATCATGACGTCCTTTTTACTTTGATGTCTCAATAGCGTTACGGAGATTTCGTGACGTGAGGGTTCTGCCTTTGTAGTGAGGGTTGTAAGTTGACGCCGAGGAGGGGGGAGGAGGCGCCTCAGCCCCCCATGTGGAGTGACGTCAGCCACTAATTATTATGAATAGTGGGAGGGGGTGTCCATTTGGAGGACGTCACCTTATGATTATTAATGATGGGGGCTGTTCGATGTTGAGTGACATCACCTGCTCATGATTATTAATGAGGGGGGGGTCCATGTGGAGGACGTAACCTGTTCATGATTATTAATGAAGGGGGCTGGTCGACGTGGAGTGACATCACGAGCGTTGCACACAGACATTCTTGGCTCATTATAGTAGGTAATAATGGGGGGGTGTCCATTTGGAGGACGTCACCTGCTCATGATTATTGAGGGGGGCTGGTCAATGTGGAGTGACGTCAAGAGCATTAAGAACATTCCTGGATGATTATAGTAGGTATGGGCATGCAAGTCGCTGGCAGAAGTGTATTATTTCCTTGTCACATATTCCAATAATATTTAGCAACAGAATACATTTCACAATATACATTATTCATTATCCATATAAACTGATCTGTACCTATTCCAAAGGATTGGCAGCTCCTCTTGCAGGTCCACATTCAGCTCCTCAAATACCTTCTGAGCCTTCAGAAAATCTTCTTCTGCCTGGCTTAACAAATATAAAGAACATATACTTGTGTAGTAGTCGTAGATGGAGACGGAGTCGTAGTGGTAAGCAAATACTTTAATTGTTATCTTATCACAATTCACTAGGTCCCTAACACGAAGGGGTAATGGCCCCTTCTACCCACAACCTGAGGAGGTACAGCCTCCGGGCTATCGTACCCTAGCTGTTGGCCCGACTACTCCTATAGCCCTCCGGCTAGCTGGACCTAGGGGAGGCTGACCCACCGCTGGCACCGGTGGGTCTCTGACCACTGGCCCGTCCAGACCCAGCCCTGAGAAGGACGTCGGGCTGAGGGAACCTCAGGGTCCTAGCCTACAGACCACTGGCACCACACTGAGCCCCGGCCCTCAGAAGGACGTCGGGGCTTAGGGTCCAGGGTCTCTTCTTCTTCAGGCGGCTCCCCGGCTTCGGCTTGAGACCAACTCCCCACTGCCGCAGGAGCCCGCCTTTTATACGATTCCCCCGCCGAGGGGCGGGGGTCCCGAGGGATCACAGATACCTCGCAGCCCCCTCCCCTCAGGAGAGGTGCTGGCCACAGGAAGCCCAAACAATCTGTGTTTGTTCGATCCCACTTTCTGTCTAGGACCAGGGTTCTGGGGGATCCCAAACACACACACACACTTCACAGCCTCCACCCCTCAGGCAGGGTCTTGATCAGGGATACCAATGACCGTGTTCTGGTAAGTACTGTGTAGTGTGTGCGTGTGTACAGAGTAACCACCACACTTGCAAACAGCGGCTTATAATGGCAAGTTTTGAATCTCTGCATTCATCATCTCTACACCATTGTCAATAGGTTAATGTGATGTTAAATAATGCTCCAACAGAAAGTAGTGGAGTGGTGTAATAAACCACTATTCAACAAACTTAAAAGGGAACTATCTTTTACACATTTATGAATACTATTCATTTGCAAATGAATATATGAAAAACATGTGATTTCAAACTGCACAATTATTCAGGTATAATATACAATGAGATTAAACACCTCATATATAATGTGCCACGACTGTTAACCAATAAGATACATTTGAATACTTGCATTTTATGTAGATTTGTAAATAAATGGTCATTGAAATGCTGTCCTGATAAATGGTTTGTCAAAGGTGGAAGCTTGACCCAACTTCCTCACGCACGACCTAAGATCATGGGAGAAGAACTGGCCATCACCAGACTCTGAGCCAACAGGCAGGCTATAGCACATGTCAGTGCCCCAGGTCTGCTGCCTGTGCTGAAGCTGCCACTCTTGTGCCAGCAATAGGCAGCAAGTTAGGCAGGAGGCCATTGTGTTGTCCATCACCAAGCTAATGGCATGTTTGTCCTCAAAGTTGGACAGGGTTGGCCACAAGGGCCAACCCTCTCCATGGTTGGCTCTTGCAGAGACAAATAGTTGGGGTATGATTGAGCCTGGCTCTATATAGCCATGGGAGAAGCGTGGAAACCGGCCAGAGAAGATTGTCTCTGTACAGCCTGGTGGACAGTCGAGGAAAAATGAGTAACTAATGTATTTGCTGCCAAGCAGACAAAATTATAAATATGCTAAAATAGCACTCTCCTCATGCTCCTTATGTATCACCTTGCTTATTTTGGAGTCATCCTTCTTCCTCGTGCATGTCAAGGCTTCCAAGTGATGTCTGGTGCTATCGTAATCCACCAGTTTCCGGCCGCGTTTGGCAATGCGTGTCTGTAAATGGTACATTCCTCTTGTTATGACTGTATATAACTACAAAGTACAGTAAGTCCCCAGCTTTCAGAAGACCCGACTTACGGAAATCCGACATTAATTAAATGGTCCCATAATACATGTAAAAAAAATTGCGAAAAATTTGGCGTTAGTTCGATAAGCGCAAATAGTGCAGCGCGGTGAGGTTGCGGTTTAATAATACGTAACTGTTTGTTTTCTATGCTCAGAATTATATTTTTTTCCCATGTTTCTATTGCTAGTTTTCTTAATTGTAAGTGGGTTTCATGAGTTATTTACTGCATTACTTTCTTTAACACAATTACACTTCAATTACTTATGGTCTCAGCCAACAGGCCGAGCCTAATGCACGATAAACAAACATTGCCAAGTGACTGCTTTCTGTAAAAAAATTATATAAAAATGTTTCGTGGTATTCATAAACAATTCGATACAGGTGACCTCCCACTTACGAAGGCTCAACTTGCGACGGCCCGCTTTTACAACCTTTCTTACAGTAAGACCCCCAGAGTAATGACCAAAACTCATTTCTACGACCGCCTAACGACTGCTACTGACGCCGAGTCGATTGCACTGCTTTGCTCTTCTGCCGTATGCAAATGTACAGCATAGCCCGACAAGTATGCAGCTGCACATAGAGCGAACGCAGCAGCATCTCTTTCGCAAACGCTCTTCACTTTTTCGTAAATTTTGTTCAAATTTTATTGTTTTCGCCTTTCGCTATGTCTGAGAAGAGGAAATGTGATGCACGTGCAGAAAAGTACTTAAGAATTTTCAAATATGTTTTTTTCACTTAATAAATTATTGTAAAAGTTACTCAAAATTACAATAAATGTTTGTAGGGTTATTTTAATTAAATTTTGTGGTTAATTTTGGTATTTTATGGTAGGTAATAGGTTTCCAGGAACAGAACCACAAATTTATAACATTGTGCCTATGGGAAATAAGGGGTTCGACTTCAGGAACCAATTAGGTCGTAGGTGCGGGGGTCACCTGTACAGTATATGTTCCATTAGTTTAATTATGGGTAGTGTTAGGGGAGACATTCGATTAAATTATTCTCAGAGCGTATGTAAAGCGATACAATACAGGTAGCGATAGAAAACGGACAGCGTGATACGGTACTGAGAGAAAACGAACTAGTAATCGGGTAGGGGAGGCACAACTATTTCCGGCTATGGGATTTAATCTTGATTTTAGGGGAAAATTGGTCAGTTTCCAATGTACGGAAAATGCGGGTTACGGATCATTTTCGTGAACCTAACCCTTCCTTAACCCAGTGATTGCCCGTCATGCTTCTATAATATCGGAAAGTGTGTCCGATTTAAATTCAAATAATCCGTGAGTGCTTACTATATAGCAATTTAAATTATCACTTTTATAGGCAATTATGCAAGTACGTAGCACACATATGAGTAAAAACGAGTACATTGCCTATGAAGTAAAAATAGGTATACATAAATGGTCATTTCTAATTGCAGTTTACAACTTTATAGTCATTACTTTATTAATGGACAAAACATCGTAAAAAAATCCAAACTAACTGTACCTTTATGTCAGGAAACTGCCCCAAGTATGTATCGAGGGTGAGTAATGCCAGATCCACCAGCTTCTGGTGGAAGTCTTCCCACAGTTCATTGTTCCGCTAAAACAGAGGAATTAGGAAGCAGACATTCAAATTTGACTGAAGCATGTCATATGAGAGTGTGATTACTAACTGCAACGATTCTTTTTTTATTCCATAGTAAAAACTATTTTAGTTGCTTAAAACTGTAAAATGAAAACTTGTTTTAATATAAACTGTCATAAAATGGAATGCATGTTTATAATAGTTATACAGCATCATTGTGTCATATATTTAAACATACCTCCGCAATATCCTGAATGAGCTCCTTTCCATACCAGTCTGGCTCGTAAATCTCTTGAAGTGATTCAATCAACTTCTTGGATGACTCGTGCATGGCTGTGCAATGAAGCAGTCACCACATAGTCTTGTAAGTAACTAGCCAAGCCTATTTTTGTGACTTAATATCACAATTGACAATTTATACTGACAATGAAGCAAAGTTTTTTGTCAAAATTACTTTGGTGTATACAGTGAATTAAGTATTCCAGCTGCCAATTCGCTTAAATTTATAACCTTGTTAGTTTTGAAAATTGATTCACATTTATCCTATTATGCATTTAAGTAAATTTACCTTTGACTGCTGCCAGGTAGGCCTTGACTTCTTTATGTAGCCTGGTTCCTTCACCCTATATTAGAACACAGGAATTAGCAACTGGAAAATACAACAAAAAGCTAAGGTAAACAGAGGGAATTTAAAAATTATACATGTATAAAAATATATAGTATATACTTGCATTAAGTATTTGCATTTTTTTACAGATTAGATAAGCACTTATTACATTTTATCGATACGATTTCTATGCAATAATATTATTTATTGTGCAAACATAATTGCTTGAATTAAATTAGACTATTACAGAGCTAATTAAGTGGGGAACTGAGGCTCAGGGAGCTTGTGTTGAAAGGGGCCCAAACAACCTAAATCTGGATTCCTGTTCCAGTCCAACTGTTGGTCTTATTTTAGTACAACAGGAATATTTTAAAGGCATACTCAAAGCTCATAACTCCACATGAACTGCTAGTATATAGCAACTGCTCAACAATGAAATAGACAATATTGATGAACGTGCAGCTTAGCTTTCATTGTTATATTTTCCCTTTACAGGGTCACTTTTCACCTCGGACATAACCTCCATACATCACAGGGAATTGCTTGGTTTAAAGAATGCTTTTATGGGAAATAATGACTAAACAGATGAAAGCATAACAAAACATATATTTGCTGAAAACACTTACATTTATACAATGTTTAAATTGTTATTATAGCTGCAAAATAAAACAAAACACATCACCCAAAAATCTCAGTTTAATTTCCATTTTACAATGAATTTAAGTGTATGAGCCACTCCCACTTCGCTGTTTTAAAGACAATTGTGTGTATTGTCTATTTATATCCTATGTATCCTGACCTATATATGTAACAATTATACTTATGTGCTCACTGTGTTTACTTTGTCGATACAAATTTAGAACCAATAAAACATGAACGTACATTTACAATTGCGAATTAAGTTGACATTAGTATTTTACTGTTGCTTACATATTGCTTGCTGAAGTTTTGCACCAGCTGTTCAAACTGTGTGTCCTTGGTCTCATCAGCTTTTCCCAACTTCTGCAGCACCTTCATATATCAACACAGATTTTAATCAGACCATCACTAAATAACTGTTTATTTCCCTCCGTCATACAGTCACACCGTAAGCCATATTTTAAAACCATTTCATGTTAACAACAAAAAATTAACTGTAAAAAATTGTTCACTTCGGAAGAACACACAATCTACACAGTATATACCATCTTATACAGTAATATGATCACATGTATACATCTTGAATTAGTCTACTCTAATTACTTGAGCATATGCATGTTGAATTGTACCAACGCAAAACGAATAAAAAAACAATTCCCTCCACCCCCTTTGCAGCGTGCTGTACCCACTAGCATGTAGCATGACATATCACGTGTCCAAGGAAAATACTCCTAGTCGCTACATTATTCATTGGTTACATCCCCACCCTTCAACATTGTGAGTGCATCCACTCAGTTGACATGGTCCATAATTTAGTAGATGCTTGCTTTCCTCTGAAGCAGAAAGCAGCCGCATATTTGTGAGCACTGTATCTCCGTTGTGTCTTCTCATCAGGGTTCTCTTCAATTCCTCTACAAATGCAATACTTGTCTTTAATCATGTGCAGCCCTTTGACAGTCCACTGCTGGAAGGCCTTTTTTCTCACCACCCCGTGGGCCAAGGGATGTTTGACGTACCTTCACGCTAGCCATTGTGGTGTTGGTGTAATTGTGTTTACAGTGACCAACATGCTCTTTATTGACAAATGCGCTAATGTATACACAATGGATTACAATAACCACATGCACTTACACGTTTTGTATGCACAGCCAAGTTTGTTAAATAGAAGAATGCAACGCAGGAAAAGTGAAGGTGTTTTTGTTCGGTTTTTGAAGGGCTAACCTTACTTTAAACTAGTGCTTTTCAACATGTGTTGGGTAGTGTTAGCAAGACATTTGTTTCGTGGTGCGTGTTAGTGTGTTGTTGTCGCCGCAAACGTAGCGCTGACGTTTCCCGCGCGCATCCGAAAGTTATCCTGCACGGTATCCATGCCGCAGCATGGGCACACTTCCCCTTAAAGGTTGGAGGCAGGGGTGATGACCACTGCTCTAGAACATGGCAAAAAAACACAATTATAACGTATTCTTAGTTCTTTCGGTAAAGTGACGCAGAAGGGAAACAATAAATAAAAATATAAAACAATACAATTCGCACTACGTTTCGACTGCAACACAAGCAATCATCAGGTGTGAAAACCACAGCAAGAAAATTTGAAAAAAGTGGCGTTTTTTTTTACGTTAGAACCACGGACAGCGATTTGGCAGTTGCTCAGATGGACGAGTTCATCTATGTTCCGAAAAGAGGAGGGGGGAGAGGAAGAGAATGGAATGCTGTCTGAAAATCACCGTAAGTCACATTGCCAGTGAACTCAAGGACGTACACAAAGCTCTTAAGGCTAATGGTTACTCCGACTACACAATCCGCAAAACCATCACTCCAACCATGAAGAAGGACCCTCTTGAGGAGCCATTCAAAACCATCACTTTACCCTACATTGCGGGGATCACAAAAAAAGATCTCCAAAATCTTGAATAAACACAAGATCCAGGTCCGATTCAACACATTACATAAAATCCGTGATCTGGTTCTATCTGTAAAAGATGCGATTCCGGACATACAGTACCCTGGTATCTACAAACTGAGTTGCCTCTGTGGTAGTAGAAACCAAACGACATGTCTCGGACCGCATCCGTGAACACAAAGCAGACCTAAAACACGGTAGGACCAACACCTCGGCCGTGGCAGATCACTGTTATAATTCAGTAGGCTCACATGACATTGACTTCTCCAAGACAGAGGCTCCTTGCAAGCCATCTGGCTACCAGATGGCTTGCAATATATATACAAACACAGAGAGAATTTCAACCGAGAAGATGGATTCTGGCTTAGCAATCATTGGAAGGATTTGATAAACCATTTCGGGTCTTGTGTTCACGCTTACGGTGACTTTCAGACAGCATTCCAGTCTCTACCTCTCCCCCCTCCTCTTTTCCGAACATAGATGGACTCGTCCATCTGAACAACTGCCAAATCGCTGTCCGTGGTGCTAACGTTAAGAAAAAACGCCACTTTTTTCAAATTTTCTAGCTGTGGTTTTCACAACTGATGATTGATTGTGCTGCAGTCGAAACGTCGTCAGAATTGTATTGTTTTATATTTTTATTATTTTATTGTTTCCCTTCTACGTGGTGACTTTACCGAAAGAACCAAGAATATGAATCCTTGCAGTCACGAAAGCTTTAAATAAAAAAAACAATTATAACGATTCAGCGGCCGTGCTTTTGGCACATGGGGGGCCAAGCCAAGCACCGCGACATCATTGATCGTGTCTTAAGCACGGACCTTGAATTATATTCTATTTAGGATGCATATAACAGCGCCCTTTGCAGGGCACTTTACAACGCAAGCCAACGGCAGTACACAAAGGGAAAAAGGGGAGCAACGGGTGGGGTGGAGCGGCTGTTAGAAAGGGATGTGACGGAAAGGATGGAGGGTCAGGGGCTGGGATGTTGCAGGAGTAGGGAAGGAGGAATAAAGTGGAGTGTCATGATGAATGAAGATCATTGTATACAGCTGGCATACATTTAAAAACGCATAACAAATGCATGGTGCTTGACAAGGTAACAACCAATGAAAAAAACAGCATGAAAAATAGGCTCTGATAAACAATAGACACCATCTTTAATTTAACCTATGAGAGAGAGAACAACATTTGCACTTCGCTTTTAAACGCTTAAGAACGATTTCATTGGGCACCCCCAGCACACACACCAAGAATATCTACACTGTACGGTGAGTGGTATCCCGTCCCGTAGTATATTATCAATACTCCTTGAGCTACAATAAGCATATGATCGGATGTGGGGAAGATGTAAAAATGTGAGGCTCATCACGATGCGAGGATGATGATGTGACAATGCGAATACGATGCTGCTGCTGCGCAAAGGTGATTGTCACAGGATGATCTGCTGCACTTGTGACGTTAGAATGACAGGTGACGTGGATGATTAACGCAGTGTCTGGTGATGAGAATGTGACACTGATGCGATGGGGGGGGATATTAATGTTGTGATGCGATAACCGATGGAGGCCGTGTATTGTCGCAAGCAGGCAAGGCAGCGCCCCGTTGTCCCATCACCACCCCTCGTCTCTTTGATTTATTTCCAAACCACAGCAGCTTGCCGCATCCACCGACAACGGGCATCTGCATCAGCACCAGCACGCCTTTGCCCCGTCTCCGTTCCCTCAAAGCCAGCAGTTAGCGGTGGTAATGATGATGACGACGGTAGCGAGGTGTTCTCTGACAGCCCTACCTTCTCCTGGGCCCTGGTGATCCGTTTCTTGGCGTTTTTGGCGAAAATGCCTGAGCTGACCTTCCCCACGTCCGCCATGACGCCCACGCACGCGTGCCCAGAATCGATCCAGCGTTAGAGAAGCGAGCACCGATTCCCTTCTCCTGCACAACGATACACCGCAGGGAGGTTGCGGGAATCGACGGCGTGTTTGTTTTGTGTGAGCTGAATCGAGAGTCGAATTTCGGGAGGCTTACCAGGGTGCTGCGTTGCTTGCCCAGGTTTCGATGTTTCGTTTCGCAAATACAACATGTTCTAACGTTGTGCTCGTCTATAATAAAGGGTTTTTTTCGTATTTCACTTAAGGCTAAGACACATGCGAACGTTTAATGTGCTTTAGAGAGCGAATATTAGTTTAACCGGGTACTGTGTTGTCATTTCAGCCGTTCAGCTTAAACTGCCCTTGCAGAAATTTGCCAAGTGACTCTTAAAGTAATTTTCAATAGCGTGTTCTTTTTCATGTGAAAGGGGCTTTTAATCTATGACATGTGGGATAATTTTAGAATTGCGTAAATACACGAGGTTGTGTTCATTTGTCTAGAGGTATGTATTTCCCTCGACAGGGTTTAACTCTATCGCAAGGGGGAGCTGTGACAAGTTTGGCGATCATTTCCATGTTTTTTCCCTGACAAAAATAGAATGCCTCCATTTCTATACAGTATCTCCGTATTTAGTTTGGTATCTATACATGCGTTGGTGAATCCTTATTTAACCACGAGATAAACCCACTGAGACATAAAGTGTTGTGCCTTGTGCAATGGTGACCAATTTACGGACGCTTTACAAAATAAAAATACTTTTGTAGTGACAGAGCGCCGACTGCTGTCCAGCAGCGGCAACTGCGGTGGACAGTTAGCGCACTCACGCCATTGGGCATATACACAGGTGTGCCGGCAGGGCGGAGGAACTGGCGCGAGGGACACGGAAGACCTCATCTGGAAGCCCCTGGAACCCGCTAGTGGGTTCGAGAAGGGAGGCGCGGCCAGGGCGGAGCCAGGCCCCGCCTTCATTAGATCATTGCGTGGCCGGATAGTTGTTGGCTGTCTCGGTCGATGCCGTCAGTGGAACACGGTCAGGGTTGTGTCTCGGCTAGGCTAGACGACTAGGGAGTGCATGAGAGCGAACCTATTGAAGTTGTATGCTGTGTTTGATCTGAATAAAGAAGGTGCCTCCAGCAACTACCTCGTCTCTGACTTGTGCTACACTACACATTCATGCGGTACAGAATAAGACTAATAAAAAAGAACTTATTCATATTCTTAGCTCTTTCGGTAAAGTCACGTTGAAGGGAAACAATAAAACAATAAAATATATATAAAACAATACAAATTCTCACGACGTTTCGACCATAACACAAACGGTCGTCATCAGGTGTGTCGGTTTGCATTAATTTATTTTTAAACGGTGTCTTTATTTATTTATATATAAAAAAAACGTCGGCGCCACGCGCAGCGATTTAGCTGTTTATTTAGAAGGACTAGTCCATCTATGTTCTGAAAAGAGGAGGGGGGAGACGAAAAAGTAATGTATGCTGTCTGAAAGCCACTGTAAGCGTGAACAATCAATTAAGACCTGAAATAGTTTATCAAATCTTTCCAATGATTGCTAAACCATAATCCATCTTCTCGGTTGAAATTGTCTCTGTGCTTGTATATGTGGATAGCCTCATGAACGAATCTCTCATGGTAGCCAGATGGCTTACAAAGAACCTCTGTCTTGGAAAAGTCAATGTGATGTGAGCCTACTCAATTATAACAATGATCTGCCATGGCCGAGGTGTTGGTCCTACCGTGTTTAAGGTCTGCTTTGTGTTCACCAATGCGGTCCGAGACATGGCGTTTGGTTTCTCCAATGTAACTACTACCACAGAGGCAACTTAGTTTGTAGACACCAGGGTACTGTATGTCCAGAATCACATCATTTACAGACGGAACCAGACCACGGATTTTATGTAATGTATTGAAACGGATCTGGATCTTGTGTTTATTCAAGATTTTGGAGATCTTTTTTGTGATCCCCGCAATGTAGGGTAAAGTGATGGTTTTGAAAGGCTCCTCAAGAGGGTCCTTTTTCATGGTTTGAGTGATAGCTTTGCGGAATGTATAGTCGGAGTAACCATTAGCCTTAAGAGCTTGGTGTACGTGCTTGAGTTCACTGCCTATGTGTTCCTGGTCGGATATGCATTGGGCTCTATGATAAAGAGTCTTGATGAGAGAATTCTTCTGTGATGGATGGTGGTGGGAATCCGGTTTCAGATAAGCATCCGTATGGGTAGCTTTCCTGTAGACAGAGTGGCTCATTGAACCATCAGGTCTCTTTTTGATTAGGACATCCAAAAAAGGTAGCTTGCCATCTTTTTCGACTTCCATGGTAAATCTGATGGCTGCGTGTATGGAATTGATGTGGTCGAAGAATTGGTCTAGAGCAGGCCGGCCATGTGGCCAGATGACAAAAGTGTCATCCACGTACCTCTTCCATAAGGTTGGGCGCAGAGTGGCAGTCTGGATGGCGTCAGTCTCAAAATTTTCCATGAAAATGTTAGCTATAACCGGAGATAGGGGGAGCCCATTGGGGTGCCCTCTGTTTGTTTGTAGAAAGTTCCATTGGGGTGCCCTCTGTTTGTTTGTAGAAAGTTCCATTCCAAGTGAAGTATGTATTGGTTAAACAGTGTCTCACCAGGGGGGTTACCTCAGTGTTTAGTCCTTGATGAACCAAGTATTCAATGATTGCGATGGTGTCAGGTACAGGAACCTTTGTGAATAAGGAACTACATCAAAACTGACAAGCAGGTCGTCTGGGGACAGGGAAATACCCTTGATTGTCGATACCAGGTGAGTAGAATTTTGTACCGCAGAGGTGGTTTTTCCAGGGAAAGGACGCAGGATTTCAGACAAAAAACGAGCCCTTAACATAATAAATATATACAAATTATTTTAATATAATTATATAGTATAGGAATTAACTCAATTCAGGACTAAAGCTGGAGGGGAATTTGAAATTGCCTCCTAATTCGAGCAAAAATTGCAATTGGCTCTGGGGACAATGTGCCTTTGTTAAAATTAGAGGTACACACAACATGATTGTAAGACTTACTCTTGTCAGTCCCAATACTTCCACTGCAAAAATAGCAGACCCACTCATTCGAGTGTAATATGCTGACATTTGATTGGCATGTTTATAAATAACATCAATATCTGTAATATTGCACATTCTCCTCTTTCCTCTGCAGGACACAGACAGCACCTGGCCATGTCTAGTCATCTTTCAAAAGGAGCGTGCACATGACTTACAAATATTCAGCAAGATAACTTATTGAGTATGTACAGTCGACGGTAACAACAATACACTTTTAACAGTGGACTTCATTGCAGAGCCTAATAAGGCTAATTACAGGGTCTAATGAACAAAACACAATCCAGCAGGCACGTTTTCCGAGGCTTTCGTCACACAAGTGTAGTGTAACAGCGCCGACTGGTGACCAGGGGTAGCAATTACAGGTATATCCACCCAAAGGCAAGATTTGGAGCAAGGGTCGCGGCCAGGGCATGGCTGGACCCCGCTGGAAGGATAAAAGGGGGCGAGAGAGGGAGCTCGAGGCTGTCCGTGGGAATCGGGGTCTTCTCGTCGTTGCGGCTGTCCTCGTCATCACTGTCATCGCTGCCATCCTTGTCATCGCTCGACGTTGCCACTGCTAGATAGTTAGCCAGCTATCTAGTCAGTCAGCACTGTCGTTGCTAGGCGTCCAGTGTTGTGTTATGTGCCAGCGAGTGTAACAGTGTAAAGTTATGATAAATAAATAAGAAAGTGCCTCGACAGTTATTGTCTCCGGAGTCGTACACTACACAAGTATTGGAGACTGGGAAACGGTGATATTGGTGTTGCATTTGTAGTGGATTTGAATTAGGTACACACACAACTTCTTGGGAGGCAACACTTATTTATTAATAAACACAACAGTTAACTCTTACATTATGCATAGGGTGGTGACCACTGACTAACTCTAGCTAACACACACTTCTCAGATACTCTAGGGAGGTGCAGCCTCCTGTCTTGGCGGGACTTACACGTCTACCGCTATCCTAGAGTCCTCCGGCTGGGACCTACACACAGATCTCTTGCTAACCTAAGGAGGTACAGCCTCCTGTCTTGGCGGGACCTAGCCGTCCCCGGCTACGATATACTCGAATTGGAGTAGTGGAGTGAAGCGGACGGAACGATGAAAACATATATACATAACACATTTGCAATACACAACCATTTTGTACAACCACACAATGACACGCACACAACACCTTTATACAGAATTCCCAACCCCCAAAGTCAATGTATTGTATTCCTCCTGGAACGGGTTCCCGCTGCCGGTCCATCTCCCCTGCACGGGATACCCTGCGGTAAGGGAGGGCCTCGCTCATCCTGCCAATGAACCCTGCGCCCATCCCTGTCCCAGTGACACTCAGCTGGCGGGGCTGTCCGTCATTCACGGTCGGAACGGTCATTAGTCCGGACCTGTGGCCGTTCAATCGGCGTCCGGTCGGTAACCTTGCCCAAAAAGAGCGATCCTGCAGGCACACGGGGGGCAGATCTCTGGGACACGCGCACTTGTGACCTCCCCACAGGTTCGTCGGACACATCCAATACAGGCCGCTCTCGGATGGGGGATGACGCATCATATGGTAACACAAATTTTTTCAGGCGCGACGGGTGAACAAACCATGTCCGACGACCGAATTTTATTCGCACACTCTGATCTCGTAAAACCTCCACAATATCAACGGGCCCCTGCCAGGGGCGGTGAAACTTCGGGGACGTTCCCACCGGCACCATGGGGCAGTGCAACCAGGCTTTATCTCCAACACTCCACGGCTCTCGTGGCCGCTGCCTGCCGAACAATCATTCGTTAGCGGCTTGTCGTCGTGCCGTATTTTGCAATGCAGCTTCTCGGGCTTCCCTTAGACGGTCCAAAGCCACCTGCATCGGAGCAGGCACCGTCGTAGATTTTTCCCGTTTCCGAATCCCCAATTTTACAATAGCCGGCGCTTCCGGTTCCCGTCCGTACATCAGAAAAAATGGCGAGTACCCCGTTGAGGCATGCGGGGCCAATCTA